CTCGGCAATCTCAGCTATAAGTTTGGAATTCTGTTCTTCCAATGTATCGACTTTGGATTGCGTGTTTGCCATTTTTTTATACAAAATGCAGATATGTTCAAAAGTTTGAATAAATAGAAATAATGATTGCGTGACCAAAAAGTTAAAAAAGTCACGCCGTTTGCTTTTGCCAAGAAAATAATAATAATTACGATTGATATGTTTACAGTATATGCGAATCACATGGGAGCGATATCATGTGTTTATTTCAGAGAAATGGCTCTTCGGCGTGTGAGCCGGCTAAATGCCGAGCCTAAACCTGCAAATCGGAGATGTCATAGTCTCGTGGAACATGCAAATCGTCGATAATCGGCAAGTTGCATATTTACCAATCAAGATTGACAAGGGCGGAGCCCATTGCTTCGCAATAATGCGTCGTTTTATATCTGGGATCGTTACATAATGTATTTCGGGATGTACTACAAGCATATGATTTGAATATACTGTTAAGTGTCAATAACACATCAATATTCGAAATCAATAGTGCCGAATATACAGATAACTAAAAAATATCGCGTAGATTTATCCGTAAGATATATCCAGCTGTGTAACACGAACCAGCGAAAACCAAAACGGTCTAAGAATCAAATTTGGGATTATGAGGCATGGAAATCTAGTCAATTGATATTATCTGCTTTTTCTATAAAAAGCAAAAATCACGCGAATTATTAATTGAGATCAACCTCCTATACTTAATGAAAATCGAGAAGGTAAACATAACATTGCATGAAAATTATTTTTAACGCGGAATTCTTTATTATATTAAATTGAACACGCTATAAACTGCTCCCCAGCACGACTAAATTACCCACCACATTATTACGACAGCTGTTTCCCCCCTCGTCTTATAAAAGTGATTCACGAATTTTGGTTAACGCTGTCAAAACTGAACGCCTTCCTTCTGGTTCAGCGAGATCGAAACCAGTCGTCAAACCATTCTCAGCTGGCCATCTTTGAATCTTAACTGACTCTTCTTTCGGTAGGCCGTTTGCAAGTTCCATCCAATACATCGCAGTAATCGTAGCTTTATAAAAGGTAGCATATGTAGAGATTACACGAATAGCCCATATTGTCTGATCTCTAGGTGCTTCCCCAAGGGATCGTATATTCTCACTACCACAAGAAAGAATCTCCACAGCGATCTGTTGTTCCCCAAAATCAGTAGCATAGCCGACATTTTGCAGGTGTTTGTCCTGTTAAAACACGTTGTTTGAGTCAGCGAAAATAATAATTCACAAGCAGTCAATAATAGACAGACCTCTACCACAACAATGTTACGGTTTTCACTATTTTTCTTCTCAATTACGAAATCAAGGACTGATATCACGCGTGCAACATCCTGGATGTATAGTTTGGTTGGCGGTTGATTTCTTGATTTTGAAAATGCAACATTAGACCGGTCGAAGTATGTCACAAAAAAAAATTGATTACCATACCTGATCCTTAAGGGAAATCTGTTTAGCTTAGCAATCCGAAGTAGATCATCCACAAATGTATCGGTAAATGTTTCATCCGTGCCAACCGCCTGCTTACTATTCACCACGACATCATTCAATTTGGTAAGGAATGTTTGAACCTTAGGCTTTGAGATGTCTTCAAGTTGGCGAACATCAAATTCTGTATGTGCAAGTACTTCACGACCAATATTAGGGAGAACATACTCATCCGGAAAGTTGTTGACTAGACAATATTTAAATTATAAGTATTAGGTTCACTAAGATTTGTTGAAGCAACGTAGCTCTTACCTTCAACATCAGGTATGACTTCGTTCTCGTTGGAAGCCGATTCGAAGGTTGCGTTTAGTGCCGCCGTATCTCCCTTTGTGAATTTAGATGCCGAAGAAGGGAGATCCTTTAAGCCATAGCTGGAACGAGAACTGGAACTGGAACTGGAACCGGAACTGAGCCTAAGATTACGCGTAGCTCCTGCAAGCACTGAGTCTTCTCTGGCAAAGCGCTTAGGCTGTTGACGGGTGGCAGAAGAGCTCGCAACTTCAATTTCGACGTTTTTTTCGTTTGTTTGAAGTTTTTTGTGCAGTCTCTTTTGGAGAACTCTTCACTTTGGCGCTTTTTTGTTTCTGGTTTTTTGATGACATAGTAACAGCAAAAAGCTATGTGAGAAAAAGTTGATCGAACATCTGTGTTACGCAATCGATTTTTCAGGCATGTGATTTTATTTCATTCCTTTTCCGATAATTGATTGTATAAGGGGGTTTTCAATTGGGATTATCGTAAAGAGGCTAAGCTAATTCATCGCTGTTTTGTGAAATTAATGCCAATCTTTGCCCCGTCTTCGTAAATATTGAGCGATTCCGAGCTGAAGTAATTAATGATCACCAAATCCGAAATTAGCTTTCATAATATCTGAAATTGGTTTGTTAGTCGCGATGAGTGTGGTATATGTGCTTTGGTACTAACTCAATGAGATAAGTATATGGAAAACTTATGTGTCCCGCCTTCTCGTGATTCTCACTCGAAGCCAGATATATACAGATAACTAGAATTGTGTATATATCTTTTTCCGAGAGACAATGAGGAAAAAGGACACTAGCTCCGCTATCCTGTTATACACCTCGCTATGTCTGCAAATATCTCATCCCTCGAATCCCTTGCATTAAATATTCTAAAAAATTCATTCCCAGAAAAGATCGCAGAAGGTGTCAATGTTTCGGAGCTGGACCCATGCTTGTTATGCAACCAAGAACTTTTTTTGTATGAAATAAAAAACTCGATTACCATACTCGTCTGTGGACACATATATCATCGCGATTGCATCGAAAAGTCCATCAAAACACGTTCAATATGTCCAAGACCTGATTGCAAGAAGGAGATAAAAACTATGGTCGAGAGCACACCTGGAAGTCAGAATACCAGCGATTTGATGGATATATCCCCGACATTATTTAACGATTTATTATTTTCAAGTCCGTCTAACAAGCGTGTTGGTGAACCCACCGGTAAACTATTCAGTAAGAAAGTGAAGAAGCCAGTTTCAAAGGATAATTCACCCACGTTGCAAAGACTAATCAAAGAATTAGGAACCAACGTTCCAGTGAAAATTTTACCGACTAAACCAACATCTAAATCGAATGAAAACTCAATCGATTTTCTAGCTTTGTACGAAAATATAATCAATGTCGAAGAAATTAGTAAACAAACGACACAAGAAGTCATTCTTCACTATTTCTATTTTGGGAAAGCACTCGAGGAACGATTCAATCACTACAAAAAAAACAATCCTAAACGTACGGCTCAAGGGTTAGTTAATAATGAGGTTAGAATTCAACTTCCATCGGTTAGCCAGAGCTTGCTTCGAAAAACGAAAGAGCGGGCCCAAAAGATTTATGATTTATTTAGTGAGATTGGGGTCGATAAGATCGCGCGGATTCAGAGCTTTACAGCAGTAACCTTATCCAGCATTTCCCAGGATGATATAGATTATGTTTTAGCCAAACTTTCACTTTCATAATATTCAGCCCGCCTTCTCGCATCATATATGCTCGAAGTCAGATATTTTAGTTAGCTTCTCAAATATATAGTAGATAGTTATTTTTAGCAGTTAGCTATATATCTTTTTTCGAACTTGAGAGAAAAAAGGTCACGTGACGTTGTGATATCATATCACGATCTATGCATAATGATATCGATATCAAAATCTTTATTGATAAAAAATTTACGCTGTTTACTATGGTTGATATCTTGTGTGATGGGTATAGTACATCTATTACCGGAAAATTAAATCATATACTTGTAGAGGTGGAACCTCATTGCTCCGCAGGGGATATTTCAAGATTAACTAATGCTCAAATTCAAAATGTCATAAATTATGTCAATGATCATGGCCATGCAAATTCAAAAACCGTTACCAATGGTAACGATCAGAATAATACACTTGAATCATCTATACCACCTGTATCTCGACCTCATATCTCTATTCTACCCGATGATCCAAAAGAGAAACGAAACTATGTAATTAAAATGGTATTGGAAAAGGCTCCTAATTTATCTCTTAAGTATAGTAATAAAAATGTCGATTACTTTACTTGTTTAACATCATGCCGTATATGCAATAATGTTCATAAAAATGAAAATTTAGAAGGTGAGT